TCTGTAATAGGGTCTCTGTAATAGGGTCTCTGTAATAGGGTTTCTGTAATAGGGTCTCTGTAATAGGGTCTCTGTAATAGGGTTTCTGTAATAGGGTCTCTGTAATAGGGTCTCTGTAATAAAGGTGATATTCTATAGACATTTCATAAAGGTGATATTTTATATACATTTTATAGAGGTCATATTCTAAAGGCATTTTATATAGGTGATATTCTAAAGGGGTGGGGTGGATAGTGTGTGACACCAGTTCTCGTTAGATCACTAAAGTTAAGCACACTTGTCCACAGCCAGTAACTGGATTGGTGTCCAGACTGGTGATCACGGGTTCGATTCCCGTACTCCACACAAACCTGTGGTTTCAAAAACATCTGAGGCCATTTATGACCACCTGACGGATATAGGAGGACAGAGGGGCGGCTGTCAACAACTCTCGCAGCGAAACGGTGCGACTGCGTGCTTTCTACTCAACAAGAAAGAAGCTTCAAGTGGGATTGATCCAAGTGAATGATGATGAAGAGAGGAATGGTGGACAAGCAGGGAGAGTCTATGGTTGCCAGCTATAGGTACCTGGGGGTATCCAATCCGGGCTTACAGATGTTAGGGAGCAATGAGTGTGATGTTTCCTATCAGTATGGCACCCGGGCCTCATTCCAGTATATCAGAAGGATTCCTGAACTCTATATTCTCAGGCCTAAGAAGAATCTTAGGCAGCTGGAATCTTGTCAACCCTCTTCTCAGAATGAATGAAGCGTAGATGTATGAATGTGCTGCCAGATTACAACCCCTGGTAGATCAATATAAAAACCCAAACAACACCAAACTCACGCAATAGAAAAAAATTCAGAAATTTATTCGTAACAACCCGATCATGTCCTGGGGACAAAAAAATCTCTTTTAAAAGATATTCTAAAGGCATTTTATAGAAGTAATATTCTATAGACATTTAAAAGAGGTCATATTCTATAGACATTTAATACAGGTCATATTCTATAGACATTTAATAGATGTGATATTCTTTAAACATTTAATAGAGATCATATTCAATAAACATTTAATAGAGGTGATATTCTATAGACATTTAATAGAGATCGTATTCTATAAACATTTAATACAGGTTGGAAAATATGTAAAAAATATTGCTAGATTATTTAAATTAAAATTAAATATTAAACGAACAATTATTAAACCAGGAAATCAAAATCATACAACAATAAACATTTCATAGAGGTGATATTCTATAATCATTTAATAGAGGTCATATTCTATAGACATTTAATAGAGGTCATATTCTCTATAGACATTTAATACAGGTCATATTCCATAGACATTTAATACAGGTCATATTCTATAAACATTTAATAGAGGTCATATTCTATAGACATTTAATAGAGATCATATTTTATAAACATTTCATAGAGGTCATATTTTATAAACATTTCATATATGTGATATTTTATAGACATTTAATAGAGGTGATATTCTATAGACATTTCATGGAGGTATATTCCATAAACATTTAATAGAGGTCATATTCTGTAGACATTTCATAGAGGTGATATTCTATAAACATTTCATAGAGGTCATATTCTATAGACATTTAATAGAGGTCATATTCTATAGACATTTCATAGATGTGATATTCTATAGACATTAAATAGAGGTCATATTCTATAGAAATTTGATAAAGGTCATATTCTATAGACATTTAATAGAGGTCATATTCCATAAACATTTAATAGAGGTCATATTCTGTAGACATTTCATAGAGGTGGTATTCTATAAACATTTCATAGAGGTGATATTCTATAAACATTTAATAGAGGTCATATTCTATAGACATTTAATAGAGGTCATATTCTCTATAGACATTTAATACAGGTCATATTCTATAGACATTTAATACAGGTCATATTCTATAAACATTTAATAGAGGTCATATTCTATAGACATTTAATAGAGGTCATATTCTATACACATTTAATAGAGGTCATATTTTATAAACATTTCATAGAGGTCATATTTTATAAACATTTCATATATGTGATATTTTATAGACATTTAATAGAGGTGATATTCTATAGACATTTCATGGAGGTAATATTCCATAGACATTTAATAGAGGTCATATTCTATAGACATTTAATAGAGGTCATATTCTATAATTATTTCATAGATGTGATATTCTATAGACATTTTATAGAGGTGATATTCCATAGAAATTTAAAAGAGGTCATATTCTATAGACATTTAATAGAGGTCATATTCGATAGACATTTAATAGAGGTGATATTCTATAGACATTTAATACAGGTCATATTCTATAAACATTTCATAGAGGTGATATTCTATAGACATTTAATAGAGGTGATATTCTATAGACATTTAATAGAGGTGATATTCTATAAACATTTATTAGAGGTCATATTCTATAGACATTTAATAGAGGTCATTTTCTATAGACATTTAATAGAGGTGGTATTCTATAGACATTTTATAGGGATGAAATCGGTGGTTGCAACATTCCATACAGGAAGAGATCACTATCCACTAAATCCAATTTTTTTATTTCTATATCTTTGCATCATGATGGTGTCAATTTTAGAATATTTCAAACTTTGACTATTCTATCTGACAGAATTACAATATCGAAATAAGTATGTCTGATATTAATACAATAATAATTCAAATAAAGCTTTCTCTTCAACTAAATGATTTACACGAGTTCCCTGAATCTCAGATATTTCAGACATTTGCGTAACCTTCTTTAAAGCGCAATTAAAAAATACAAAAGGTTATTTGTCGAATACTTATCTCCAATATCGCTGCTTAGATAACAGATCAGAGTTCATTTGTTAAAAGTTGAGAGCACTCTACAGGTTAATTAACATCCAACTATTCTATCTATGTAAAAAAAGCTATTCCCTCGTATATATAAAATTTATACTATATATATACTAGGCTTATATTTCAATTTGTATACATTGTAATACAAAAACAAAACAAAAGATTTCGCGGATTTTATAAAAAAAAGTTGTGGAGTTTCAAAATTTTCAAAAATTTAATTTTTTAGAGGCAAATTTTAACAAAAATCCCCGGGTCACGCAAGGTCCCACAAAAAATTTTGGTCAGAGCGGTTCAGTCACTTTGACTTCAAACAAACAGAAAGACAAGAAAGTATATTTATAGATACTACCCCATTATCAGGTTTTGATTGTGCAATGGTTAACGTGCTTGACTCGTCATACAANTCAAACCCATTAATTGCAAAATTAAAATCTGATGAATAGAGCCATACTGATGAGCCCTTATAGGTTGAAACACTAGGTGTCTAAGGAAATATACATATATATATCTTAACATTTCACTTAAGTTTTAGTTGACATTGTAGCTTTGAAATATATATTTCAGTTTAGTTATTTACTATGTAAGTAATACAAAAATTATATTTTATCTAATATCACAGCGAGGTATCATTAACATTATTGTTATCATTAACAATGTGCACTGTAGATTAAATTGGGGTTAATATCAGGTATATGTATATTGTATATATAAACAAAACAGAGAGCAGAACCCTCTCAACATAGTTCTTCGTTAGCAGCATGGCAACTACTATAGATATCCGAAAAAAATCTTTTTTTCAAAATTAGCCAAAATATATGATGAAAGATGAACAAATAGAAGAAATGGAGGAACAAAAAATATAGTCAAAATATTTTCATCTGTTATCATAAATTATTTGATATTTTTAAAAATAAGAAAATATTTTAAAAAAGGTATATATTTGTACAGTTATCCTTTTTTAATAGGTAAATTCATATTTTAAAGGATTGTACATGAATCCCAAGAAAATCATAGAAATAAAATGTTGTAGACAAATTATTAGAAACATATTTACTGCTACAAAGTGGAGATATCAACCAACAGAGATTTTAACAAAATGGCGGTGTTGACGTTTTTCAAAGTTAATTCCGCTGTTTTCATATTTGTAATAACATCAACGATTTAATAATTTTAAGAGATTAAGAATGAATCTATTGATGACGAACCCTGTTCGTACATTTTAAAAAACTTATTGGTCAATATAAAAATTAACTATTTCAGTTTTGAGTTTCAATATTTACCACACACCTCTGACCCTCCAGTAAAAGTAAATTTAACCTAAAGTCTGACCGGGTCAACCTTGTTGCACCGGCTAGTCCTAATGAGTGTCTGCTTTATTCCAGTACAAACTGGGACCGGCTCGGAAATTCAAATGTACTACAAGATGCTCCAATAAACACGGGAATTAGGAGACGACCTTGAGATCTTCTCTGATCTGAATTATTGATCAAAAAAGGAATGGTCATAATGTCTAAAGAGCTTTTCAAAATGGGGACTAGCTTCTCTGTGGCGCAAACACATAACATCCTATTTCAAAATTTAGACAATTTTGATTTTTTTGACATATCATTATTTGTAAAAATTCTTGAGAGCCTCTGTCGATTTTAACGAAACGAAAATGACAGACCACATTTTAGGTATACCACGGCTAGGAGGTCCAACTTGTTGGTAATCTTGAATACTCTATTTCCAAGTTCACAATAATATTTCTAAATGAATCAGAGACGATGCTAAAGTTGTCACTATTTTTCTCATGTTTTTGGAACACCCAATGCTAATACTTTGCATGCCAGAGTGAGTATTGATTACGACGCTGACAAGATATTTATTGATTGCTGACAATGATGAATTTGAGTAGAACGCTGACAATAGATCCTGCAAGCATGCCTAGGAGACAGTATCCTCCCATCCACTTAGATCTGAACCAAACAACATTTTTTTATAAATTATAGATTTGTTTTCAAAATAAGTTATGCTTTGCTTTGATTTCGTTTCAAATTCGTTTCGAAACAATAAATAGATCGCGTTTTTTTTCTCAAACTCCAATTTTTAAGGTACTTATATCTTTGCAACCCGATCTCTGGGACCTTTGATATCTCAAACTAAGAATTCTGCTGGATCAAAAAATCGAAATACTGCGAATTGTAAGAATAAAAAAGAGTCTTGTAATCATTGCGTTTGCTAGGAAAGTAATACCTTTATTTGGCAAATATCAGATAACAGTTTTTTGATTAAATATAAAACCGATATGTACTCAACTAAAAAGATTATTTGACTAAAAAACTAGTTTTCACATTAAAAATGTAATAAAACTATAATTAAAGTGTTGTCAACATTTGTCTTACTAATGCTGATGATACATTACTTTCCTATGATTGACACTAACATGCATGAGTTTTCAAATAAAATGTTATACAACTTATTTTTTTTAATTTGAAAGTTAATAAAAAGTATTTGAATAAAGATTGGCTCAGGATAAAGCTGTTTGATAAATTCTTTACAAAGCTAAAAAGTTTGTTTAAGGGGACTGCAGGTAATCGTAATTTCAAGTGACCCTCCATGATAAAATTACAATGCCCGATTAATGCAAAACAGAAACAGGGATATTGATCTAATTCATACTTGATCAGACAAAGCCTTTCATTGCCATTTTTTAAAGGAGGGTCTCTTCAGCAGCGTCCAGTCCCTTTAAACTTCTTCTCAAACCACTAAATCGTATAAAATCTTAATATATTTTGCTTGTCTGTTCTGCATTAACGTCAAGGCCCCAAAGTTTATGTGTGAACTCACAAGACCCCTAGAAAAGGTTTATGGCCAGTCAAAATTAACAAATTTGTCCCAAATAATTTCTATTAAAGTTTTCTTTTGGAAATCCGCTGTGTTATTTTTTCAAAGTTACGAAAGGCTTTTAAAAAGATCACCAACAAGATAATATCCAAAAATACTAAACCTGTAGGGGTACCAACAAACAATGTGACTTCAGAGATGAATTTCATGAAATATTTGTTCTTATACTTATATGCCATTATAGCACAATATTTAAGACAGACCAGTTGATTTTCAAATTTAAGGACCCAGAGGTCGACATTAAAGATTTATTTATTCCAAAAAGGTTGTTGCCTGGAGATGTAGGCTGCTGACGTTATACAGTATCCACCTGCCAAATACACAAATTTAACAATACAAAGGAATTGATTCTTTGCCACAAACTCTGAATTTAAAATCCCCATATCTTTGGAACCCAGTGTCGCAAATCTTTGATATTTCAAACTTACATTATTTGATCTAACAGAATTCATAGTTTGAAATATCTAAGGTCTACGACATTGGAATCCAAAGATATCGTGTTTTAAAAAGCAGAGTTTGTGGCAAGGACTCAATTCCTGTAGAAATGAGCATGTAAGTATAAGGGAGCTTTTTAACTTTTGTATAGAGTTATCACCACATGAGTTTAAACTCAACTCAAACTACTCAAAATTGGTTACTTAACTCTCAACTATACTAGATGTGCAATAAGTTGGTTCGATTTTAAGACTGAAAGAAGTGTTCGAAGTAAGATTTCGATTCCTCTGGAGACCACCGGAGGGATTTCATTTTCACTGGAGGGGTTTGAAGAGTCTCTTTTTACAATTTGAAACTTTACGCAGGGTGATTTACAGTTCACTGAGGGGATACATATACCCATTTAAGTGGTTTATAATTCCATGGAAGGGATTCAGATATCTATATACAAGGGTTAATAATAAACCTGGAAAGATATTTGTATCTCTCTAGTGGAATTATAAACCCCGTTGAAAGATATCTGAATCCCTGCAGTGCAATACGTTTGTTCGTTTCAGAGAGTTTTTGGAATTTCAAAATGTTCCATAAAAGTCGGAGAAGTTTTAATTCAAATTGTTTACTCTTAATATTTGCTTTTCTTACACTATACCAAATGTTGACCCTCAGCAAAAAGTATGCAAAAAATTAACCAAAAACGAACCAAACCAAACAATCTACAACATTTTTTGGGTTTTTTTCCTTTTTTCTCTTAATATTAAAACGTTGCAAAGTTTAATAAAAGTAAAATTTAGCAGAATACAGTTTTGAAATGTTTATTTTATAAAAAAGTTTTTTAAAAAGTTTATTGAAAAGGGGTTGCANAACAAGCTATAAAAACCAAAGGAATTGAATCTTTGTCACAATTTTTTTTATAATTCCTATATCTTTGCAAACCATGATGTCGTAGATCTATAATATTTCAAACTATCCATTTTGTTAAATTAAATAATCTAAGTTTGAAATATCGAAGGTTTACACTGTCAGTTCGTAATTTTATAGGAATTAGAAAATTTGAGACTTAATTCCTTTCCTTGGTTCAGTTTCTCTTAAGGCCCAAATTAAAGTTTTAAAAAATCAAACCCCACGTTTTGTGCCGACTCAATACTTAACACTATAAAGGCTGGGGGTCTGAATCTAGCCTGGGGGGCGTTTGGCGCCCCCCCCCCCCAGAAAAAGGCCTCAGAGAATAGGTATAGGGTTGAAATGCATGTTCATAGCGCAAGTTTTCTTTCCCAGCTCAAAAAAAAAATAGACCGATAACTTTTATAGTTTGGTGCTAGGGAGGGTGAAAAAAATGCCAAAAAAAGGGTAAAAAAATGAAAAAAATATTTTTTTGTTTTAAACAAATATCAAAGTGTGACACATGTTTCTACATGCATTTTTCAAGGGTTTTTTAAAAATGTAGTTTTTAGATCTGTAGCTTGAGTCACAAAAAAAGTTATGGGCTATTTTAAATATTTTTTCAAAGACCAGACTTTTTTTCCGGCCTGTACCCTACCCTTTAAATTAATAAAAAATAAAAAATTTTACTGAAAATAAATAAAAAAAAATGTTACCTAAAGTTGACCAAATCACAGAAATCAAAATATAGCTCCAATCCCACATTATAACCGGCAAATATCTTAAACAAAACATGGGTTTCTTTATCATGTTAATAACATGTGAAATTATATTTTTTATAAAATCATAAATCATAAATCATATTAACTTTAACTTTCCGTTTCTGGTAAGGAGGGAGTTACTGAGATTTGAAAATATAGTTGATATATTGTTTCTGTAGATTTATTTCAGAAAGTTTAAATAGAATTATTTAATATCTTCCCAATTTTAAAGGTAAAAAATTGGAAAACCAAATTTTGGTATTTTTTTCAAATTGGAATGCTGCTAGAAATTCCCAAAATTTTTGGAGAATTTTGGTATTTCTCTTTTTTAATGCTTACCGATTTTCTCCAAACTTAGACAATAGGAACAAAGGAATAAACGTTATCCTGAAACAAATATTATTAAGCGCTTTAGAATGTTTGTTTAGTAAAACAACCAGAAAACTGATAAATGATTGTCGTCTTTTGTTTTCTTTACATAGGAAATAGTTCTGTTTAGAAATAGTTCGATTGCAAATTACAAAATCTTTAATTTGCGAATATCAAAAATAAACCAAAAACTCTTGAAATATGAGGATTAAAATTAATCTTATGCTCTTAACAGGCGAAAGGGGAGGAGGGGGAGAGTGTGACCCCCCCCCTCACCTTGAAATTTTTTGACATTAAAGAATTAGTAATTTTAGAGTATTTTGACATTTTTAATGAATATGATACGTTCTGTGTAAAAAAATAAAATAGAATAAATTTTTGTTATTTAAGCCACAGATCTAAAGACTACATTTCTTAAAAGCCCTAGAAAAACAGATGTATAAAGACGTGCACATCTTAATATTTGTTAATAAAATAAAATAAAATAAAAATTTTATATTTTTACATTTTTTTTACATTTTTTTAAACCTTCCTAGCACCAAAACTATTTAAGTTAGCGGTCAAATTTTTTCTAATGAGCTGACCTTAAAAAACTGGGCTATGAACATGGATTGTATCCATAAACCTTTACTCATAAAGACTTTTCGGTGGGGTGCGTGGGACACCTCCCCCCCCCTTTTCTAAACATAGATTCAGATCCCGGTGACTGTTTAGGGTTAAGTAAACTCTGTATGTAGAAAATAAGATTGAACAAATTCCCTTAAGCCGTCTCATCTGTTGGTTACCATGTATGAAATATGTATAGAAGTGAGCTTAGCTAAAAAAATCAGCAACAAAAATCAAGAATAAATTAGTTAAAAATTAAGCTGGTTGCACGAGCACCTGACTATAGATATTGACCAGCACCATGAGGGAGGGGAGGGGGTTGAACAGGAGATGAGAGCGCCTAAACTAAATAGCAAGGAATGCGGAAGAAAAGAAAACATGACCGGAAAAAGGTGAGCCTGATCTATTGTAGAGTACACTACATCTAGAAAAAAAAAATTATTAAAAAATTTATGAATCAATTATTTTTTTTGTAGATGTTTAGTTACCTTTAAAGATGAAGGGAAACGCTAGAAAAGTAATGAATGATTGTCCAAACATATTAAAGAAAATTGCGAATTTTCTCCACCATCCCCGGCAACAGCCGCCATTTTCTTTTTCATAACGAATTGAGAACTGGCGCATTTTTCTCTTCATTTCCTTTTCCAACTTTATAGATCGTCTTTGCTTGACTTGTTCCTCTTGGTAATATCTCTAAACAAGAAAAATTTGAGATTTTATACAAAATTGTTAATAATTTGATTAATTTAGAAATATAAATTGATTATATTTTGATTAAATAAATTTTTTTAATCAGATTAAATTCATGAAATAAAAATCTTTACTATCTAAATTAATTAATTATAGATTAGAAAATTTAACTTTTATTTTTAAGATAGAAACTCGAGAATATTATTTACCGCTAACGGCAGCGCCAGATATAGATCTGCAGAAGCCAGTGCAAATGCTAATACCAAAATCAACACATAGATGGCAGAAGTGTGTTCTGTTATTGTTTCCATTCCGAAGGTATCTGTTGAAATTATCAGACAAAATAGTTGACAAAGAACTGCAACACATACTCCTACACCCTGTAATAATGGTTTTTTTAATTGATAAAATTTTTAATATATAAATATATATTTGGCTGGTCTGTTTGTTTATTTGTATCCAATTAATGTCAACGACTAAACATGGAAACCAAGCGCACCCAAATGTTGTGTGGCAACTCATTAGAAAAAGGGTAGGTTTAAATGGACGGTAAAAATTGAAAAATTGTGCCTGGAAAAAATGGAAAATCCGGCTAGTGAAAGAGGAAAATCCAAGAATTTTTTTTAACTGGAGTAAAATTTAAAAATGGCGACTTGTAAACTAACACAGTGAATTAAACAATTAAAAGAAAGGCTTGTTACTAGAAATGGGCGCTTCGCTGAAAAAAAATCCTACCATTCCGATAAAAATGGCTGCCATGTACTGGTTGCTTAAATTTGCCGCGCAGCTGAAGGTCTGGGTAAACTGGGCCCCGCAACCAAGGAAGAGAAGAGAGAGGAGAACCAGGGGGAAGAATGGATGAAGATAGACGGATAGATGGATGAGAGAGGAGCCAACCATCATGTAGACAGAGAGAAGAAGGAGGGACAGGATGTTGATAGTTTGAGCCAGAACCATGATAATACTAAACCACCTAAACAGAAGTATATAATTACTAGAAATTCAAGGCGCTTCGCTTCTAGGCAATTAGGGTGCTTCGCGCCCATCTTCTATTTAAATTGTAAACGTGTTCTTTTTGTTTACATTTTAAAACAAAGAAGAAAGAACTTTTGCGTATTTTTAAAAAAAAAATCGCGGATTTTCAAGAAGAATTTAAAGCCAGACAAGCCAAATTTATATATAGATAACATTCTAAAGCCTTAGCATGGGGGGGGGGGTAGTTTTCAAATTCCCCGCCCACTGTGATAAGTCAATAAAGACTTGCAATACATGTATGTAAAATAAATAACGATTCCAAAACAGCATCAAGATTTATTTTGTATTTGCAATTAAGTACAGGGTTGCTTTATCGTACACCTTGAAAAATCGTGATTGTTATTTTAATACGCACTTTGTCCTTAGATGGCTATATATCAAAGATTAATAACAATCTTCAAGTCGTTAGACGATTGTCATGTTTGCTGTACAGAGCTGAAAACCTTCGGATGGTGGATATCGAGATCAATGCTTTATCTCCTGAGCTGAAAACTTTAGAATGAGATATCCTTAATCCCGATTACTTAATCTGAGTATCCAATGGACACACTTTTGATTTTCTTCTTAAACCCTTCTTTCTTGGATATATTAGAGAAAAATCAAAAAATGTTTTTTCTAAATTAGAGAGTCCCTCCCGTTTCTGTATATAATCTTAAATGGCGCGCAAAATTTCAAATTTATCGTTTTCATATACGCACCTCTGATTGGTTGAATTTCATACACTTTTCAGGATACAAGTACAAGATTAGGTTAGTCTCGATATTAGGAAAAAGAGAGGATCAAGCATTAACCTCGATATCTACCATTCTAAAGTTTTCAGTTCTGGTTTTACTAAATCCAAGATTAGGTTAATACAAATTCAATATCCAAGAAAGAAGTTAAAAATTCAACCAATCAGCGTGTCATGTTAAGATGCGCTCTTTAACTTTTGAAAACCCGGTTTTTATTTTTTTGCGCATTTCCGGTGTTGATGGTGTCATATCAATTGATATCAATATCAATTGTGAACAGTTAACTTTAGTTCAATCGGATATTAGTCCAATTAATATAGCATCGTATCTATAATTGTAATCAAAAGTAACTTTTATACAGTAGGGATATACAAAAAAAAAGGATTAGAAAGAAAATCAAAAGTGTGTCCATTGGATTAAGTAATCGGGATTAAGGATATCTTATTTTAAAGTTTTTAGCTCTGAGCTGGGAACTTCAGAATGGTTTATATCAGGATTAATGCTTAATTAATGTTTTTGCAAATCTCGAGACTAACATAATCTCGAGATTATGTAAGTCTTGAGATTAAATATTTAGATCAACAAATTGGGTTTTAAGAACGCCAGATTGGTTCCTTTTCTTGACTGGAAGGGCCTTCAATTAATTTCTCACCTATATATTTATTAATACATTAGTTAAAATTAGTTACAAAAGAATCTCCAACGTATTATTAAATATTTTTCTTAACCGATTAATTTACAAAATTTGTTAGAAATTGCGGATTTATTTCTGGGATCAATTTTATTTTCAAGGCTGTTATTGGTCAATACAATTTATTCCTGCTCTCTCATTGGAGAAAATAATGTTCGGATATCGAAAGAGAGAGAAAGAGAGTGGATTAAGGACTAAAATTAAAAGTTTTCACAATGAATATTCGGATTAAGTAGTTGGGATTAAAGGTTATCCATTCTAAAGTTCCCAGCTCTGGGTACATTAATGCAGATTAAATTTAAATCTTTTAAACAAAAACAAAAACATATTTTGGATTACTGATTTATTTTAAAAAGTACTTTTCTAGTGAATGAACACTATCAAATCCAAGCTGAAATTAATTTGATTTACATATAAACCCAGTACACAGAATTCTTGTTATTTGCTTACATTGGTTTGAAAAGAATAGTATCCAAGAAAATTAATCAGTTTTATTTCTTAATTCTCTTTTAATATCTGATTAAGCAAACCATAGCAGTTTAATTAATGTTTCTGGGAAATGTATTTTTAGATAAGATAAGTTGTTGATTATAAATTGTTAATTGTAAATTGATAATTGTAAATTAATTGTAAATTAGTGTCGTGTAATTTCAAGTGACCCTCTATTTAAAAGAACATGCTCGATTCACAACAGCACTGTTCAATTATGATTTTTTTCGTTTAATGTTTTCTTGCAGTAGAAATGCACAAGTTACTTTAAAAATCAAAAAAAAAAGACTTCGATATCTTGTTAGAAATCCAACAATTTGATAAAATACACGAATTCTTTCTCAAAAATTCTAATACTTTATCAGACAGAAAGAGATTAACAACAATCATATTTAAAAAGTTCAGTTTGGAATCTTATCTTGACTGAAATTCTTACTTCAAAGAGAAGAGTTGTTTGAAATTTCAGGGAAGTAAGGAAATCAAATTAAAATTTATGTTTGCAAAAAATCAAATATTATTTTTTACTTTTACGAACATTTCCATTCAAGAGAAAATTTTAAAAAGTTTTAAAGAACTTTACCTTGTTTTGAATATACAAACAATTATTCCAGAAACCGTCATGAAACTGTAAATGGAGGTTACATTTGATATAAAAATAATAAAAAAAAAATTAGAAAACATTATTACAAAGACGTTAAAATCTTAAGTTTTAACTGGAATAATTCGGCATGACAAACATTTCAAAAACTCTTTAAAGAAAAAATTTAGAGTTTTAAAAACAAGAAATAAAAAAGGCAAAAATAATCTATGTCAGGCATCAGATATATATTATTTTATATTTACTTGCCTCAAACTCAAATTTTCTAATCCATTTTATCATATTTATCCATATTCAATAGATCATTGCAAACTTTGAATTCTAATAGATCAAAAAGTTTAAAATATTAAATGTTTACGCGTCAGGAAAAAAATAATAGATTTTACAAGTTACAACTTAAGGCCGAAAAATCAATTCCTTTCCAGGAAAAAAATGTATAACAACGGTAAATGAGAACGCCATCCCTGAGAGCTAGAAGAGGAAGTATATCTCCTGGAATAGGATTCATTAGCTCTTGGTTTAATTCATTCAGCATTAACTCAAACATCTAAAACAATCATAATTCTACACTGTATCTCTGCCGGCCAAAACCGATATACAGTTCACAACATATTGGCGTATGAGTTTGATACTTTAGAATATAAATTTTTCTTCATTTTATAAAAATGTTTTGCAGCGAATTTCAGGAAATATATCTTGTACTGTATGTTATCATACACTGAATTTCCTAATATAGAGAAATATCATCCCACAACAAAAATTGCATTTTTATATTACAAGTTCGGTATTGACCGGTGCTAATACAGTGTAAAAATGGAGGCAACAAAAATATTTGATAACTCTAATTCTCTAAACCCTTATAAATGTGTAACCAGCTGGTGTAAACCTGTGTTATTTCAATTTTTGACGATTTGACCTTAAAAAATTCATAGTTTAACAAGTCAAAGGTTTACAACATCAAGTTGCATCGATATAGAAACTAATTACTCTCACCGCGCTTGGTATTAAATCATCATTTTAACTGACGTGCCGGTCGTTGCCCGGGGAGTTTTTAAAAAAATGTCAACAATTTGTTTAGTTTAAAGTCACCCCAGGGGTATCCTAAAAAATTGTTGGCCAATTTATTCGGCCAGCCATAGATAACAAAAAAAAAAAATATATATTATATTATATTTATATTTATTTTAAGAAAATTGCAGATTTTTGCAGATTATTGCCGATTGTAAATTGATTGCAACAATTTCGCTTTAAAATTAGGGCAATTTGATGCTATATAATGTGACGCAAAAGAATAAAAATAAAAATTTAAAGTTTAAAAGTTTAAAAACTGAAAGAAAAAATGAAAAGATGAATAACTTTATAAAAAAAATATATATTAGGGATGCATGAAAATGAAACTTACTATTTTAGGAAGAAAAAATTAAACAAAACGTAAATTTAAAAAAATTTCAAATTTTTTAGGTTATTTTGAAAACCGAATTTTTTTATGTTTTTTACCTTATTAATTTGAGGAGAAACAATGAGTATATGAAAGGGTAGGGTTGCCGCCACACTGTTGATTAATATCACACAGAATACCAAACCATACCTGAAACATATCGTTCATCAGAGTTGGAAACTTTAGAATGGGATACTTTTAATCCTGACTGCTTAATCCGAATATCTAATGTGGACACTTTTAATTTCTTGCTTAATCCATTCTTTTTGGATATAGTACAGAAAAATCAAAAACCGGGTTTTCAAAATTAGAGAGTCTCTCCTGTTTCTGTAAACTTAACGGCATCCTTAAACCACCGTTTGAAGAGCCGTAGTAATTTAATTGGGTAAAAAAATGTTTAAACAATCTGCTAATTGTAAACTGAATTTTTTTTGTAATAAATACTATTTTTTAATTTTTGTTTTCAAGTTTAGTCTTATTTCCAGATCAACAGCTGTCTTGATGAAATCTTAATAAAGTAGTTTGAAAGTTGTCATCTGCTAATATTCTGCATTAGTTATCCTGCTATTGTTTGTTTGTCTGTCTGTTTCTGTGTGTGTTAGCTGGCTGGGCGTTGCGCATCGTTTCAAAAACGTACAGGATCGAGTCTATTAATATTTTTTTTAACGAACGGAAAAAAACGTTTACGAACGAATTGAAAAAAGTACTTGCATGCCCAACTCTTAATTATATGTTTCATGAAGCTAAAAACTAAAAATAATTAATTACCTATCTGGAACTAAAATAATTAATTACCTATCTGGAACTCTTTTTTGCGGATTTTCAACAATAAAATCTTCAAATCGAGTAGGTTTCCCTCTAAACCAATAAAATGCTTTTTAAAATCAAAAAAAAATAATAATTTAAATTCTTACGCAATTTCTAGATTTAAAAAATTTATACATCCCCCTATCCCCCTCCCCCAAGTGAAAAAGGAAAGCCATATTTTTATTAAAATTGTCTTTAATCAGTTTATCTTTAAACTTAGTTTTCATTTAACACATAATTGTCTTTTCTACATTTTCTTTAGAATTAAATTGCTTTCTTTATTATTTTCGTTTTTATTTTCCTAAAACTTTTTCTTGGTGTCAGAAATTGAGTGAGTTCGCTTGTTTCCGGGACACTAAAATATAAATACAAGCTGCTCAAATTATATTTGTTGTTAAGTATGTTGTATAATGTATTGTACTTAATACTCAGTAAATATTAATACCATATTCCATATATACTGGTTGCCCCTTTTTGCTCTGTTTGTAAACAGTGTATTGCACTTTTCACAATCCTACTAAACCTAACACCGCTGCAGTCAGTTAGATCCTATACCCAAACAATTTATTAGGTATAGATTTATATTCGATTCATAGTGTTCTTTTGTGAAACTATCAATATAACAATGATTATCAAAATAGAATGCATGAATTCTTATTCAAGGTATATATTGTAAATCTATATTCCTTCAAAGCTTTGTCTGATCTTGAAAATTTATTATTTACAATATTGATTGATTTCTCAACAAAGTGACTTGCGCATTTCTATTACGGGAAAACATAAAGGATTTATCATGCAGAATTAAACACGTTTAAATCTAGAAAAAAAAGACAATAACTTCCACATTATTGATCAGACCTGGAAACTTTTGAATGGTGGATATCGGGATTAATGCTTAATCGACTCTTATTCTTAATCTCGAGATTAAATTAAGCTTGTTCTCCTCTTGTTATAAAACTCCAGATTAATTAAGCGGTCGGGATTAAGGATATCTCATTCTAAAGTTTTCAGCTCTGAGCTCGAAACCAATGATTAATCCTCTCTTTTTCTTAATCTCCAGATTAAATAATGCTTGTTCTCCTCTTGTTATTAACTAACCGATCGGGATTTAGGGTATCCTATTCTAAAGTTTTCAGCTCTGATAAAATAAATTATAAGTGAGTAAATACAAAAATAAACCATGGTACCAGGTACATCCATGATCCATCTGCACAAAGAACTGACATTTTTTCATATATAACAATGCTAACCATTTTAATAAGTTTTTCTCAGAAACGATTACTTTTTAGCTATTGCTATTTTTTAGTCGGAAAATCATAGAAATAAACTTTTTCAACGAAATATAAATAAATAATTTCTAAATCAACCTGAAGAAAAGAAAAATTAAGGTTCCTTTAAATTTTCATGTACAATCATTAAACATAAATTTACGTCCTAAATTCTTAATTAAACCTCCCCCCCCTCAAATAAAAAAAAAACATGAACAAAATATGCGATTGTGGAAGACGATGCCTGGCCGCGTTAAACAAGTTCCACAAGATTCAACAGAATGAGATAGTACTGATAAAACATCTACACGTGTGATCTCGATATAGACTATTATTCTGAACCCTCTAGTAATAAGTTAAAAGAAATATATACACTGGAAGTTATTTATGCGTTTTCATTAGAGTCTGACTCACGTCCTCTATACGATTATAAATTTAGAGCATTATTTTTTTTTTATATTTAAAAAATTGCTAATGCTCATTTACCTCTTCAGTAAGCTGTAAAAGTGTAAAACTGGAGAAAAAAATTTGAAATCTTCATCAAGAGTTTCATTTGAGTCATTCATTTGTTCCAATTCGTCCAAGGTGAATGATTCATCTTTCATCTCAAAATCGTCCACTTCAGACGAATCGTCGTCCTCCTCTTCGTCCAATATTGTTCCTAGAGACGAACGGTGACTCCATCTAAATAATATGTTTTGAGGTTTGAAAAGAGGAATGTTTTTTATGACAAAATATACATTTCTATTTTTTCAAAAAGGAATAGAGTTTTTGCAACAAACTCTGATTTTCTAATCCAAATATCTTTGCAACCCAATGTCGAAGACCTTAGATATTTCAAACAAAAATATAAGTTTGAAATATCAAAGGTTATCACCATGAGGTTGCTTAGAAAATTTAAGAATTTGGCAATGACTAAAGCCCTTTACCTGTGCCTGGTCCTAGGGGAGGGTGCCGGGGTAGTCAGGGGCGTACCCAGGGGAGTAACCAAGGGGGTGTTAGCAACACTAATATCTTCCATACTAGCCAGGGGCGCTAATCTTTCAAGCAAATCAGGGGGGATCACTCCCATTTTCATTCTGGAATAAATTTCTTTAAATATTTAAATTTTTAGAATCAGAATAATTCAGATTTTTTCAATATATACAATATATAAGGCGATAATNAATATATAGAAGTTTTAGCTCGTTTATTAACAATACATATATTAAAGTAGTAATTTCTATCTGTCTGTTGTTTGTATTGGTTTTTAAATACTAGACAATTTTGGGTGTTATTTGAAAACAAATTTCCATTTTTTTGCTCCGTTATATTCTATGTAGACGATTGGAAAAAAAATCATCAATTCTTAAATTTTTAAATCAAAAATGCACAAACATGATATATCAACACAGATTTTAATAAACGAAAATACACGACATTTAAAGAAAACAAAAGAGATTTATCAAAAAGAAAATATTTCAGAGCTATAGCAAATCTTGTTTTTATAAAAATAGTAATGAATTATATAAATAACCTTAATTTTACGATAGAAGATTTGCAGAAAAACGGCACTTAAAAAAATCGAATCCCCATAGATTTTAGTTTGTTGCTAATGTCATATGTATTGTACATTAAATGAGAAAAAACCCGGCTGTAATCTTTTACCATGAATATTTTAATTTAGTGACTTTGTTTTTAACATGTGAAAATTGATAAAAACTGTATTGGTATTAAAAACAGCAGCATAAGTTTTAAAGCACATTTCTCACAAATATAAAATAAATTTGATTTTAGAAAATTGAATAAACAGATAAATGAAAGATGCAGAATTATTTTATTTTTATTTCATTATGAATAGGTATTTCTAAAAGCTAATGTCATAATCATAGTTTCTAAAAAATTATAGATTTGTTACATAAGGGTGTACACAAAGGAAGAGAGGTTTATCAAAAAGTTTAAATTTAATTAAAAGTAAATAAATCTCATACATTGTGAATAACCCTGTATGTAAGTATCTAGTTGATATAATAAATAAATAAGCATTGATTATTGCAATCTAAGAGATATCAAATACAATTGATTGTGCAGATATTAAATAAAGTATATCCTTGCATTTGTAATTAGATATATATACTTTACAAGGGTGCAGGGGGTATTTAGGGGCAGGGGGGCGTTTCTGTTTAAATTCACTTCTTATTAGGGACATACCAAATACACAAATCTACCCTCAAATCTTTCTCTTTTCAATTAAATATATCGTTGTTTTCTCTGCTTGAAAAATGTTTAATTCTGAAAATTTATTGATTAATCAATTTTGAAAAGTGTTTATCTAATTCTGTAAAGTTTTCATGTACCGTAATATTCCTTCTTGATCATACTATGTTGTCATGTATCGTAATATTCATTCTTGATTATACTAAGTTTTCATGTACCGTAATATTCCTTCTTGAGCATACTAAGTTTTCATGTACCGTAATGTTCCTTCTTGAGCATACTAAGTTTTCATGTACCGTAATGTTCCTACTTGAGCATACTAAGTTTTCATGTACCGTAATGTTCCTACTTGAGCATACTAAGTTTTCATGTACCGTAATGTTCCTTCTTGAGCATACTAAGTTTTCATGTACCGTAATGTTCCTTCTTGATCATACTATGTTTTTTATTTTTTTCATTTAAAGCGCATTTACCGATACAAAAGTTATAAAAAAAAGCCTGACTTTGGTTAAGTAGATCGAATTGTGATCAAAAGTCACAGCTGACTGAAACAAGTACCTTTCTACGTGTTACAGGATATCATGAACAATTGATTTCCAATTGGTGAATACTCGATTCACTTGCAAGAAGTGTTATGTTTTTGTATGTGGATTCTGACAGAGTCAAAACCCCCCTTTAGTTCTACACCATGATTTGTAATTCAAAAGAACCTGGAAATGATTTCATAGATTTATTTAAAAATTGTTGAGTAAAATTTATTATTTGGTTAAAAAGTATTTTTTTGCCCGCAAATATCTTGTCTCTTGGATACTACTGAAGATTAGAATATAAACAATACAGGTTGTCCCAACAAACATGGAAATACATTTAGAACACCTGTATTTTACGTCACTTGTGACATTTTGATTTTCAGTGCCTGACAAATATTCATTGGAGGTGATAAATTTAGACAAAGGTGCTTAATTTTATTGTACAATTAGTGGAGTTTTATGTGTTCTTACTTTTCTTTTGGTTTAAAGTTTTCTACAAAACGGGTCTGAACTGTGTCACATTTGACACCAATGGCGACATGTTTAATTTCAAATTTTATTAACGTAACACCTATTGTACAGTGTACACTTGTTAATGTATTTTGTACGGTTAATTTGAAATACCGAACCGACTTCTAGGCAGCTCAATGTAATCTTTCCAGGCTTCATTTGCAGCACAAAACGTGATGTGTCTACTTTACACTGGGTAGTCCAGACTGGACAGTACGGCTAAATGCACATACACTATACAGTACATGTTGTACCGGCGTGAATTATGAAACTTTTAGAGTGGTGTGAGCTCGGACAAGTTTTATTACATTAAAATAAAGTAATTTTTTTAACAATATGAAAAGTTTAAAATGTAGATTCTATTGTATACCTATAAATGTTAATCCAGGGATTTAATTCTATCATAATAAATTTAGTATTTATTTGAAAAAAACATACAGCTGATATATATATACAGCTTAACGGGACAGTTACACTTCAACTCTTTCTTGTCATATTTGTTTGTACATTACAGTACAGTACAGTGAACACCCAAACAGAGATTACAACTTTGTATATATATATATAGAAACAATATATTTCACGTTGCCTTGATAGGTTTTAAAAACAAGCAGCTAGGTGTTTCCTAATTCTATATGCCTAGCTTGACAAAAATCAAATGACAATTTAAAGATAAAATCATAAGGTTTGATTTAAAACAAAGTTTAAACAGTAAATATTCATCCAGCATAAACAATGTTTATTCTTAATCTTAATCGAATTCATGCTGTTGGAACACAGCTCATGTTGAATAAATTAAATAGACTCTACACGTAATTTAACATGGCCATCCATCTATAAAGTAGCATGCATGATTCACAACAGTACCAATAAAAGCTTTGTATGATCATACATGTGTTTAACTAAAAAAAATTTATTTTGGACTTGTGGACAAGTTCACTGAATTAAAAACTTTTTTAGATAGACAAACGATAATAAATTTCACAACAGGGATGTTAAAGTTTTAATTTTTTTGAAAAACGATCGTTTCGTTATGAAAACGACGAAGAAAAATCGAAAACGAAAAGATCATTTTTAAAAACGATCGTTTTTTTAAAAGTTCGTGTTTTAAAAATGGTCATTTCTAAAACGACGACCCTTCGTTAACGATCGTTAACGAAGAGAGGAACCCGACCTGAAGGGCATCTGCACTTATCATTGAGTAGTTTTTAAGAAAATATATAGAAGTTTTAGCTCGTTTATCGTTTTCTAAAAGTTCAAAACGAGTGGGTCGTTTTTAAAAACGATCGTTTTTTTCGAAAACGAAACGATCCTTTTTGAAAACGATTGAAAAACGAAACAAAAAACGATTAACAACCCCACAAGATAGATTAGATATGGTTTACAGTGAACCATCGTGTATCAATAATTATTTTTTTTTTTTAAATGCTAGCATTGGTTTTTTTTGACAAACAATCTTTCTCAATGAGAAAGAAACTTTATATGGGAAACTTTATATATACAGTGTCCCAAAAAAAGGTACGTAGGACGGGGTGTATCTGGCCATTCAAAGTATTAAAAACAAAATAAAATGGTTTTAAAATATGTCGAGATTTAAACCATCATAATTATTCCACATATTATTTATCTTTTTATCGCTAAATAACACTAACACAGACTTTTTCAACATAATTGTAGCTATGCTTCAAACAGTTAAACTACGCAATTTTAACACTTATAATCCATCATACATAGTTTCAATAGTTTGCAGTTCAGAAGTACAGTATTCTCTATTCAATAACAACTTAACCCCCCACCCCCCCCCCACCCCTCTCCATGGCTGGTTGTCACTGTAGGGTTGGTTCAGGTGGTGTAGGGAGGAAGGGGGGGTAGTGAAGGAGGGAGAGGGGGGCACTGCACTCTCACTACTGCCTGGGTTAAAGGTATAGCGTATACTACCAATACAATACACAACACAGATACCCATTCTCTGTGGGCCCTAGAATATCCTTCCGGTTACATACAAACCTTGGGCTCTGAAATTTTATTTGTACACCTTTTCATCAATGCTTTTTAAATATTATAATTACCCAAAAGAGATAATTTTAATTGAGAGAGCAGGAATTTATTCTCTAGATCAACAGGTCAAAGTTAAAATTATAAAATATTTTACCATCAGGTTGCATAGGGTTACCCACAAAGGATGAGACTGTAATTACGATAATATACAACACAATATTATTTTACTTAAGAAGAAACATGTTTAAAACTGTAGGGAGCCATAGACGTAAGAAAATCTATGAATAAAATCCGTACATTTCGTCTCTGGTGGGTAACCCTGTGCTGTGTCGCCAACTTCCAACAATCAGATTAAAAAATCTATATTGAATTGTCCAAGAAAAACATTTAATCAAAATCATATTTGTGTACACTCTAAGAAATTTCAAATTTTCATTTAACAAAATTTGATGGAGTAGGCCGGTGTCATGCAGGGAGCGGACTCTTGCATGGGGCGGACTCGACCCCTAATGTTTTAACTATTTTAGCACAATGTTTGACATAAAAAGCAATGTTAAAGTTTCTAATTCTTTATCTTTGCAACCTGAAGCGACCTTTGATATTTTCATTATGTTTGATCTAACAAATTTATAATTTAGAATATCCAAGGTCTGACATTGGGTTGCAAAGGTATAGGGATTATAAAATCAGAGTTTGCGCAAAGACTCATTTCCTTTACGGGAAAAAAATACATGGTTAACTTGAAGCATGGTCTGTCCGTATTATTGTATCAAAGTTTTGAAGATAATTTAGTAGGATTTGCGTCGCTCTATATCTCTTTTGAAAACGTGATATGAAGGGAACGGGTTTGATATATCTGCATAAT